AGAGGGCGCGCGCGAGCGGCCGCCGGGTCCTTCCAGGGCCTGAAAACTCCCCCACGGGGAAGTAATAAATAACAACAATAACGGCAGTAATAATACCACCAGCAGCCCCCAGCACGTCCTTAATTACCCGCACAACTGCACGGACACGTACGAGGACGCCCAGGAAACGACTTTCCCCGAAAACGCACAAACGAGTCAGGGTCATTATGTAAGAGGCCCCCGCCTTAGAGCGGGTGTTTGCGGGTGTTTGCAAGCGCTCGCTGCACAGGGAGACCCGAACTCAGGCGCCGGGGCTTTGCAGACCAGTTTGATAGGCCAGGCCCTCCGCCTGTGCGTGAACCCCTCCGCGCCCCGGCCTCGCTGACCCCCAGAGGCAGCACCTACCCGGGGTGCGCAGGGCAGGCCACCCCGCAGTGCGGCCTGGGCAGGGCTCGCCCTCGGCCCGCTGCGCCTCTGGGTCTCTGTTCGGGGCACTCCCTGCAGGAGGGGGTGCGGTCTGCGGCCCGATGGCCCCACGTGAGACTCCCAGGAGCCTCGTCGATCTTGGGGAGTCTCCGGCATCCCCGTGCCTCGGTTTCCCGTCCCAGCAGCAGGGACACCTCCCAGCCCTGGCCCGGCCGCGCGGCTCAGGGGTCCCGCAGCCCTGGAGGTCGAGGAGCATGCGCTCCGGGCGAAAACAGGAAGGCCTTGCGCTCCCCGCTCCCCGGCAGGGCTTCCTCCGGCCCTGGACTTCCAGGGCCAGTGACTCAGCGCGGCTCCCTCCGTGCCTGTGACCTGTGCGGGAAGGCCTGCTTCCTCGCCCGCTTCCTTCCCGGCCCCTCCCCTGCTCCCTGCTCCCTGCTCCCTGCTCCCTGCTCCGGAGCCCTCGGTGGCTCCCAGTGACCCTGCAAGCAGGCCTCGGCGCCTAGGGGAGTCCCCGCCCAGGACACAGCCCCCACCCCCACCTTTGTAGTTACTAGATAGTTTTGAAACTTAACAGTAAAAAACCGCCTAACACAAAACCTGCCACCTTAGCGTGGGCCAGTGCCCTGCTCCGTGGCAGCGGGCACGTCCCCACAGCTGCACGACTGTCCCCACTGTCCAGGCTCAGAGTCCTCGTGATCCCCAGCCCCAGCCCCTCCCAGCCTTCCCGACTGGTGGGTGTGACTGCGCCAGGGCCTCCCGAGAGACCCCCGGGATCCAAAGGCAGCAGAGACCGTGGCCTGATGGGACCAGCCGGTGCCCCTCTCACTCTCCCACAAAAGGGGTACAGGAAACAGACAAAAGGAACTTTAACACAACAGCTCCAGGGACCAGCACCATGTAGTCGATCGCGGTTCGAGTCCCGGACCCGGTGGTTTACACTCACACCAGGTGCGTGTGCGTGCGTGCCCAAGATCCCAAGAGGAGAATGGAGGAGAAGGGATTGTGGCGTGGCCATCCCCCCTGGGGGGTGATCTCTCGCTTTCTGTCTGTCTCGTGGTGCATGGTGGTTAAGGGCGCTGGACTCCCACATGGCCGACCGTGGTTCAAGTCCCCGACCTGGCAGCTTAATTCCTCACTCTCTGTCTCTGTCCCTCTCTGGTCGAATTTAAAAATAAATAAATGAAGTTAAATAAAGCAATTCTTGGGAGGTCAAAACACACACAGCTGCTCCGGGCCGGCCAGTGGATCCTACAGGGCCGACTGCATCCCCATCCCAGACCCGGGGTGCGAGAAGCGTCCCTGGTGACCTGAACCCAGAGCAGACTCATCCCCGGCTTCTGCTCAGTGGCAGGGCAGCACCTCGGCGCAGAGCCAGGGCGCGAGGGCTCGCAGCTAATTCGCCCTCGGTGCTGTGTGACCGCGGGCAGGGCACACTGCCTCTCTGGGCGCCACGCTCTGAACCTTCTATGGCTGCTCAGTACGCAGGAAATGAAGCCCGGCTCACGCCTCCCTCGGGCTCCACCTCTGCACATATATGCTGCCCCTCTGCCCGGAACCAGTGAACACGGCCCTCTGGTCTCAGGCGCCTCCTCCAGGAAGCCTGCCTGGATCAGCCCCCCGGCTGTGGGGTCCCATGCACCTGCGCGACTTGGCGTTAGTTCCTGGTCCCCTTGTCCTGTGGCCGCCTCACTAAGTGCTGAAAAGCAGCACCGGCGGCTGGTCTGGAGACGGTGAAGGTTGCCACCCTTAATTATTCTGACCGCAATGCCAACCTGGACCCCGCATGCTTTTCTGGGGGGAGTTGGGGCCACCCGGGGGCCTCGGTTTACCCCCTGACCTGGGGTTACCAGAGGCCTCAGCGCCCCGTCCCCCACCCCACCTGCTGGTGTCCCTGAACCCCAAGGCTCTCAGCAGCCAGACGCCACCCGGGAAGCGGCCCCACCACCTGCCAACCTGAGCCACACCTGGCCACGGGCCACAGGGACCTGGCCTGGACCAGGCGAGGGCCACGTGGCTGGTGTGTGTCCCCACGTGGACTGGGGTTGGCCGGCCTCCCTGGCACTGCCCAGACCCCCACATCCCTGACTGCGCGTCCTCACCCAGCCTCACCCCTGCCTCCCCGGCTCGCTGCACTGGGGCTGGGTCTCAGACACACACACTCAGTCCCTCCCTTCAGTTCTGCTCAAGCGTCACCTCCTCAGGGACCCCTGACTCCCAGGTCCGGCCCCCCAGTCATATCATATCACTCTCAGAGACCCCCTGCTCCTGGGACCCAGCGTCACCAGGGCCTGTGGGTGTGGTCAGCAACACAGAGCCCTCCCACCGGCAGGGTCGGGTCTGGGAAGCCCCCACAGAACGGTCGTGGGCGTGGCGTGTTCAGAGCCCGCCCGCCCTCCACCTCCGCCCATGCTCCTGTGGGGTGGGGCTGGGTGTCTGGGCCAGCGCCATGTCCCCCAGGGCCTGGCGCACTGTCAGTGCTTAATAAGCAGCTTTGTACAAGGCCAGACCACGGCCTCGCGTTGAGCGAGCCACACGGTTGACCATGGTTCGAATCCCAGGCCCGGCAGCTTGAAAGACACGCCAGGCACGTGAGTGGGCGTGTCCCCCAAGCCCTGATGGGATGGGAAAGTAGAGACGAGAAGGTGGGCTGGAGCCAGCAGGCGGCACGGTGGTTAAGGCCCTGGACCCCACACGACCGACTGAGCAGTGCAAGTCCTGGACCCGGTGGCTGGAAACTCACGCCGGGCGCGTGTGCCTGCCAGAAATCCCGGAAGGAGACGGGGTGGCAGCGTGGCCACCCCGGGTGTGATTTCTCACTCTCTCTGCCCTATGGCAAAATGAAAATAAAATGACATGAGAACCAGGCAGGAGGACCGGCCGGTCCACACTCGCTCTGCTAAGGGACCCCCCTGCGCCCCAGGCCCACAGACCTCTGTGCACCGAGCTCGGCTCGGGCCCACGCCGCCCCCAGCTCACACCCACCCTGTGCACCCTGCCCAGCCCAGGAATGGCTCCCACCTTCGCCTCGCCCTCGCCTCCCACAGGCATCCCCGGCCTTTGCTCGGGCTGCCCCCTCTGCCAGGGGCACCTCTTGGCTTTTTAGGGCCAGCCACGCCGGAGCCCTTCCCACCCACCGGGCAGTCTCCTCACTGTTCCCCCGAAGCCCCCCAGCCACCTGGCCGCGGCCCCTCGCGGTGACGTGACCCTGCTGTGTGGCCCGGGGTCAGCAGGCACCCTCTCTGGGCCCGGCGTACCATGTCAGGGCTCGGCGACTCGAGCCCGGCTCAGAGCCTGTTTTCCATCTGCCGCCCTAGGACGGGGCCGGCGCTGTCTCCAGTGCCATCGAAGGAGCCCCTGCCGCTGGCCGCCCCTGGCTCCCCGC